GACACAAAGGTGAGGTGAACCTGGGGGTGAGGTGAGACACAAGGTGAGGTGAGACTAAGGTGAGACACAAGGGTGGTGGGAACACAGGGTGAGGGTGCTTGAGACACAAAGGGGTGAGACACAAGGGGGAGGTGAGACACAAGGGGGGGTGAGGGGTGAGGGGTGAGACACAAGGGGGGTGAGGGGTGAGGGGTGAGACACAAGGGGGGGTGGTTCCTCTCATTTCCCTCACTTATTGTCTCACTAACTTTCTCTCCTCATTGGTGATGTATGAACGTGTCTCTCTCTCTCTCTCTCTCTCTCTCTCTCTTCTGATTGGTTAAGAACATTAGAAAGCTTCTGATTGGCTAAGAACCTTAAGAAACCTCCTGATTGGCTACCAACATTAGGAAGCTTTCTCATTGGCTAAGAACCCAAAGAAACCCCCTGATTGGCTACCAATATTAGGAAGCTTTCTGATTGGCTAAGAACCCTAAGAAACCTCCTGATTGGGCTACCAGCATGAGGAAACCTACTGATTGGCTACGGTCACTAATACGTCAGGGTCTCAGCACCACAAGACGTCACGCTATTGGTTCTTGAGAGAGTTGAACACCAATGAATCGGCCAATCAGATGCGTGACTGAAAAATAACTCAGAGAAAGTAACAGTTTCCCTTAAGACTATTCTGTTCATCACGTGGGAGTTACTGAAGCACACACACACCTTTACACACACACACACACACACACACACACACACACACACACACACACAGCTCTTATAATAGTATTTTATGACATAATTAAATTGACGATAAAGTTAAAAATATTTATTGACGCTCATGAGAGACCTTGAAGCCGTCGAGTGACAGTTAGACGGAACCACAAACTGGTCTCTCTCTCTCTATGTATGTATGTATGTATGTATGTATTTATGTAAGTATGTATGTATGTATGTATGTATGTATGTGTGTATGTATGTATGTATGTGTGAACTTGCCTCTCTCCTCTTGCCCCATCTCTCTCAGTTATTGCGACACAGTAACGGTACACCTGGACAAGTTTAGGTTAATTGGTAACTCATGCAGGTAAGACAGGTTGAGGTACCAGCCGTCGCTAGATGACCAAATATTATTGTTATTATTATTAGTATTACTCTCTCTCTCTCTCTCTCTCTCTCTCTCTCTCTCTCTCTCTCTCTCTCTCTCTCTCTCTCTCTCTCTGTCAACATTCACACAACAATTACAGAAAGCTTGTTAACACAGTCACACACACGCACACACGCACGTGCTGTTTACACGCACCCTCTCGTGTGTACACAACGATGTACACACGCGTGACGTACTTACACAGATAGATAGATAGATAGATAACCTTCTAATTATTAATACTAACAATATACCGACGGTAATTACAATAAATTATTCACTTGAGTTATTCATGAAGATATTGTCACAGGGGGGAGATATATGTTCCCCTCCGGCCCTTTGTGTCGACTGTGGCCCTGAAGCGTGACCTTGGGGTTTATATAGTAGGAGGGGCTTAGTATCCTCCACCAATCAGGGTATCTCTATGGGGCGTGGCTTCTCTCCCTCAGCCAATCATTGATCACGTTGGGTTTATCCGTTCGTGTTATGGATTCAAAGTCGGATTTTTATGGATTTTTATGTAATACTTTTTTTAGGGTGATGGTTGATAGACAGACAGACAGACAGATAGATAGATAGATAGATAGATAGAGACCTCATGACACAAAGTAGGCAACCATAAACACAGGACTTCATGCTATCCTCTCATGCACCTTCATCTATACTTCCTAATGCTCTCTCTCTCTCTCTCTCTCTCTCTCTCTCTCTCTCTCTCTCTCTCTCTCTCTCTCTCTCTCCTTCTTTGTGGTCTTATTCTCCTGTTTTATTTTGTTATTTTTGTCTCTGTTCTGCTTCTTGGTGTGTGGTTTTGTCCAGAAGGTGTGTGTGTGTGTGTGGTTTTGTCCAGAAGGTGTGTGTGGTTTTGTCCGGAAGGGGTGTGTGGTTTTGTCCAATGTTACTTTCACTTTTTGAGGTCGTGGTAGTGGTGGTAGAAAGGATACAGTGATGGTAGTTGTGGTAATAGTGGTGGTAGTAGTAGTAGTAGTAGTAGTAGTAGTAGTAGTAGTAGTAACAGTAGAAGTAGTAGTAGTAGTGGTGGTAGTAGTAGCAACAGTAGAAGTAGTAGTAGTGGTGGTGGTAGTGATAGTAGATAAGACAGTATGGTAGTAGTGGTGATAGTGGTAGTAGTCGTAGCCGTTGTAGAGAGTAGGGTGGTAGTAGTCGTAGCAGCAGTATTAATGGTGGTGGTAGTAGTGGTAGGACAGTGTGGTGGTATAGTAGACAGGAGTCACCCCTCGTTGGCCTTGCCCTAGTTGTCGAAATACCCCGGGGGCACGGACTCTTGCCCTCCCTCCCTCCCAACTCCACTTCCTCTCTCCTCCCTCTCGCTCCTCTCACCCTCTCACGTAACGACAATTCACGTGGACCATAAACCTCCTCTTCCTCTGTGTATGTATGTATGTATGTATGTATGTATGTCAGTTAAATACGTTCTCACATCACTAGTTAGGAGAAAATCCTTAACTTAGGAACATTTGGGAATATCAAAATAAATATCTAAACAATGTTGCTTTTGGGCTTTGTTTATGTTTATTTAAAGTTATGTTGATTTCATTCCACGAACTAAAACTTTAGGTCATGTTTCCGTTATCAAGAATTTGTCAATAAATTCAATATTACCAGGTTTAGTTAAGTTTAATTAATTCACGTGTAGTTAGATTAGTTTGTGGGAAGTTTTATTAGAACATATTTATATAAATTTATATATAATTAGTTTAGATCACAGTTGTAAAAGTCTTTGTTCTTAATGAGGCTTTAGAGATGCTGGAAACATTTCGTTCTTTCATATGATTTAATTTATTCAAATCACTAAAGAACAAAAATTATTAATATCATTAATATCTGTTCAATAAACATGTAATTATTGTTAATACATAGTTCATATAATAGTAATAGTAAATAGTTTATTGAAGAAAATTAATAATTGTACGTCTGACAGCGATGCAGAAATGGCAGCAAGATGTAGTTTTATAAATACGGTTTACACATAATACATTTTTTCCTACTTACAAAATCGAAAAAAATACCCGATTATTTTTATTCTAGAGACTTTAAATGTTTACAGTAACCACAAAATAGTTTATATTAATCAAATAACGAATCAAATCAATCAATCAGCGCCGTCTTTAGCCAATTTAAGCCATATGTCTTGGTCTGCGCATACCTATTGACTGTGTAAAGACTGCAGCAGGGTACCAGGTCATCCCCCACTGGTGACTGTGGGAAGCTAAATAAGGCTGGGCGGACTGGATCTTGTTGTGAGTAAGAGATGGTGTAGGTGTAGAGAGGGAGGGAGGGAGAGAGGTGTTGTGGGTGTAGACTGTAGAGAGAGAGTGAGTAATTACTTTTACCTTATTTACCTACTGGCCACCCACTAGAGGGAAGGAAGCCAGTGGTCTTTGTAGGATCCTTCCATTGTTCTTGATAATTGTATATGTACGTGTGTTTGTGTGTATACGTGTTAAGGTAGAGTCTCAGTGTTAAGTGAAGGTATCTAGTTAAGGTAGAGTCTCAGTGTTAAGTGAAGGTATCTAGTTAAGGTAGAGTCTCAGTGTTAAGTGAAGGTATCTAGTTAAGGTAGAGTCTCAGTGTTAAGTGAAGGTATCTAGTTAAGGTAGAGTCTCAGTGTTAAGTGAAGGTATCTAGTTAAGGTAGAGTCTCAGTGTTAAGTGAAGGTATCTAGTTAAGGTAGAGTCTCAGTGTTAAGTGAAGGTATCTAGTTAAGGTAGAGTCTCAGTGTTAAGTGAAGGTATCTAGTTAAGGTAGAGTCTCAGTGTTAAGTGAAGGTATCTAGTTAAGGTAGAGTCTCAGTGTTAAGTGAAGGTATCTAGTTAAGGTAGAGTCTCAGTGTTAAGTGAAGGTATCTAGTTAAGGTAGAGTCTCAGTGTTATGAAGGTATCTAGTTAAGGTGTCTCAGTGTTATGAAGGTATCTAGTTAAGGTAGAGTCTCAGTGTTAAGTGAAGGTATCTAGTTAAGGTAGAGTCTCAGTGTTAAGTGAAGGTATCTAGTTAAGGTAGAGTCTCAGTGTTAAGTGAAGGTATCTAGTTAAGGTAGAGTCTCAGTGTTAAGTGAAGGTATCTAGTTAAGGTAGAGTCTCAGTGTTATGAAGGTATCTAGTTAAGGTAGAGTCTCAGTGTTATGAAGGATCTAGTTAAGGTAGAGTCTCAGTGTTATGAAGGTATCTAGTTAAGGTAGAGTCTCAGTGTTATGAAGGTATCTAGTTAAGGTAGAGTCTCAGTGTTAAGTGAAGGTATCTAGTTAAGGAGAGTCTCAGTGTTAAGTGAAGGTATCTAGTTAAGGTAGAGTCTCAGTGTTAAGTGAAGGTATCTAGTTAAGGTAGAGTCTCAGTGTTAAGTGAAGGTATCTAGTTAAGGTAGAGTCTCAGTGTTAAGTGAAGGTATCTAGTTAAGGTAGAGTCTCGGTGTTAATTTAGACCCATAACTGGTATTAACTAAAATTATCTAACTAAACTCAAGTCACAAGACAAACTTAACGCCATTTTTTACACAAAACAAAGTCAGTAACCACAACACGTACCAGAATGATCAGCTGTTCAATGTAAACACAAAACAGCTGATAATATACACAACGATGACGTGTTTCTTTATATTTCAATCAGAACTTTTCTTAAATTATAATAGTTTAGAAGACCAATGAACCTTTAGGGGTAGTAGTAGTAGTAGTAGTAGTCGTAGTAGTAGTCGTAGTAGTAGTAGTAGTAGTAGTAGTAGTAGTAGTAGTAGTAGTAGTATAGTAGTAAAAAAAAAAAAAAAAAAAAGAGTGGTAGTAGTACTTTAACCAAACCATAACCTAACCTAACCTAACCTAACCTAACCAAACCATAACCTAACCTACATCTTACTTCGTCAGGTCAAGCTATCCAGTGCCCACACCCAGCAGTTCCCATCAACGCCAGAGTAGACGTAACAAACCGAACGCCAGGCGACACAGCGACATACTCTTGTGATTCTGGGTATAAAATATTTGGGTAAGTGTGTTTTAAGTGTGTTTTAAGTGTGTTTTAAGTGTGTTTTAAGTGTGTTTTAAGTGTGTTTTAAGTGTGTTTTAAGTGTGTTAGGGGTGTGCTATAGGTACTCACACGACACTGTTCTATTGACGCATTTTTCTTCACCTGTAATTAGCACCTACGTTTACCTGGCCTTGGGGGGGGGGGGGGATAGCAGTCATTAAGCTTGACGACGCAACCTTGGCAGTGGTCGACACACAATGGATAGTTAAAAATATGTCTCTCTCTCTCTCTCTCTCTCTCTCTCTCTCTCTCTCTCTCTCACAGTAGAGGATTATTTTGAGTGTTTTAATAGTTATTTTTTTGTACGCATTGACGCATGGACGCACTGGTGATTAGTTGGGTTGGCTCATTGACGCATAAAGGGTCTAACGCATGGACGCACATTTGTACTCGCTAGGAGGTGCTAACAGGTGTTGCTGAGATGTAATTAATGGAGTGCTGGGATGTGCTGGGAGGAAGCATCCTTCATCCCAGAGCAGGGCAGAGTTCACGGCCAGCTGTTATGACGTCATCGCCTATTATGACGTCATCGCCTACTATGACGTCATCTCCTGCTATGACGTCATCTCCTGTTATGACGTCATCGCCTGTTATGACATCATCGCCTGCTATGACGTCATCGCCTGTTATGACGTCATCGCTTGTTATGACATCATCGCCTGCTATGACGTCATCGCCTGTTATGACGTCATCTTTTGTTATTATTATTATTAGCATCATCAAATTTCTCCTTTTTATTCTCCCTATTTTCATGCCTATTCTCCCATGCCCCTATTTAGTCCCTATCGCCTATGCTCCTATTAATACCCTATTTCTAGTACCTTATTTATACCCCATTTCCTTCATCTACAGGTCGGAGTCAATTACCTGCGGCAGTAATGGGAAATGGGCCGGCGACTTACCTATTTGTGGTGAGTATAAATGTCCTATTAAATTTGGCTATTTTAGTGTCCTTTTAATTTTGGCCTATTTTAGTGTCCTATTTGAGGTCCTATTAAAAATTTCAAAATTGCTATTACTAGTTCCTATTAAAAGATCCTATTTCTGTCTCTGTCTGTCTCTCAATATCTCTCTCTGTCTCTCACTGTCTCCCAACAGCCACCATTAAAAGATCCTATTTCTGTCTCTGTCTGTCTCTCAATATCTCTCTCTGTCTCTCACTGTCTCCCAACAGCCACCATTAAAAGATCATATTTCTGTCTCTATCTGTCTCTCAATATCTCTCTGTCTCTCACTGTCTCCCAACAGCGACCAATGTAGCCTGGAAGAAGCCTGTCAACCAGTCGTCCACAGCGAGAGGCGGGAAAGGGGAGAATGCTAACGATGGCTTCCTCACATCAATCCACGACGGACAGTTCTGTACAGAGACTCTCGTAGAAGCTTCACCCTGGTGGTCCGTCGATCTACTGCAGGAGTATGAGGTCACTGTGGTCACCATTACTACCAGAGGGTGTTGTGGTGAGTAACTGTGAGGTCAGAGGTCACTGTGGTCACCATTACTACCAGAGGGTGTTGTGGTGAGTAACTGTGAGGTCAGAGGTCACTGTGGTCATCATTACTACCAGAGGGTGTTGTGGTGAGTAACTGTGAGGTCAGAGGTCATTGGTGAGGTCACTGTGGTCACCATTACTACCAGAGGGTGTTGTGGTGAGTAACTGTGAGGTCAGAGGTCATTGGTGAGGTCACTGTGGTCACCATTACTACCAGAGGGTGTTGTGGTGAGTAACTGTGAGGTCAGAGGTCATTGGTGAGGTCACTGTGGTCACCATTACTACCAGAGGGTGTTGTGGTGAGTAACTGTGAGGTCAGAGGTCATTGGTGAGGTCACTGTGGTCACCATTACTACCAGAGGGTGTTGTGGTGAGTAACTGTGAGGTCAGAGGTCATTGGTGAGGTCACTGTGGTCACCATTACTACCAGAGGGTGTTGTGGTGAGTAACTGTGAGGTCAGAGGTCATTGGTGAGGTCACTGTGGTCACCATTACTACCAGAGGGTGTTGTGGTGAGTAACTGTGAGGTTAGAGGTCATTGGTGAAGTCACTGTGGTCACCATTACTACCAGAGGGTGTTGTGGTGAGTAACTGTGAGGTCAGAGGTCATTAGTGTATGTTTGGCGAGGTTATTGAGAGGTCAGGAGGCACTGTGTAGGTTTAGAAGGTCACAGAGAGGCCAGGTGATACTGGTCGTATGTGTGTGTAAGGTCAGAGGTCAAATAAGTCACTTAGTAATAGAGTTCACTGTTTCTGAGTGACTTTTGGATAGATAGATTGATAGATAGACAGGCAGATAGATAGACAGACAGACAGACAGACAGACACCCGTCACACTACTGACCTGACCCTCAATTGTGACCTAAAGTGAAAGGGAGAATTCAATCCTTCTTTGACCTCTGTTGTGTTCTATGCTCAAGACACAAGTACAGTATGTGGTGTGTCCTCTGACTAAAACATTATTGTATGCCATGTTCTGAGCTCACAACACTATGCCTTGTTGTAAGTTCAAGGCATTGTTCTGTGTTGTGTCGTGTGCTCAGATCATCAGTGTGTTGTGTCGTGTGCTCAGATCATCAGTGTGTTGTGTCGTGTGCTCAGATCATCAGTGTGTTGTGTCGTGTGCTCAGATCATCAGTGTGTTGTGTCGTGTGCTCAGATCATCAGTGTGTTGTGTCGTGTGCTCAAACCATTAATCCGTGTCTTGTGCTCTCGTCAGGACACCAGCCAGTACAAGATATTGAAATCCGTGTTGGTGATTCTACAAACATTCAGCGGAACAGACTTTGTGCTTGGTACCCTGGCACTATAGGTGAGTTAAGTGTGTCTTACTTATAATACTACTGTAGTCAGGTGTTTCTTACTTATAATACTACTGTAGTCAGGTGTTTCTTACTTATAATACTGCTGTAGTCAGGTGTTTCTAAGTTATATCAATATTGTGTACTAATTAAAAGGTAAATTACTTAATATTCTAAGTTACTCGTCAAAAATATTTAAATTACAAGTTACTTTATTGTTAATATTACTTAGAATCACCGCTTTAACCTGTAATAATTTACAAGTAACTTTTCGGTCTGTTGTAAGATATTGTAAGAGTTATGTGTACGTTATTTATTAACTTATGTAAGAAGGCGATGGTCAGGTGGACGTACGGGATAAGTGAAAGTAAATCAAGTGGTATCTGGTAACGTTTTCAGCCAACGTCATGCCAGTACCGGTTTATGATTGGGTGAATAGGTCTGGGGCAATTACGTCATTGATGTCATTGTTTATGATAGGTTGGAGAATTGTTGTGAATTCATGGGTGGTTTATGATTGGTTAGATATGATAGGGATTTGATGATGTCATTAATGAGGTAGTTTATGATAGATTGGATGGGTCAGGGGTACTGTGACGTCATTGATGAACTTGTTATTGATTGGCCGGATAGGTCAGTATTAAAATTGTCATTAAACATGTTTCTTAGTGATTGGTGGAGCCGATCAGTCGCTTAGGTCACGATTCTTGAAGATTTGTGGGATAATTTCTTCCCTTTAACTCAATATAACACTAAAGACGCCATCTTGGTCATAAAATTTACATCTTAATGAGTCATTAAGATGAGCTTTTATATGTAATACCTGATTCGCTGAAAACTCCTGCCACAATATGACGTCATTATAAAGCTGGTATCTCATTGGTTGGCTGAACCATGCCACATTATGTCATTATCACTCTGGTATCTCACTGATAGGCTGAAGATCCTTGTTGCAACATGACGTCACTACCACTCTGGCATCTCATTGGTAGGTCGTACTGCCAGAATAGAGAAAATCCTCATTAAATTACTATCAGTTGGCAACACTGAGCGGCCATCTTTGTTATTATTGTTGTGGTTGTGGCGGGAAAGTGACATAACCTCAAGTTATTTAAGTAAACGTCCACTTATAAAACCTCGACTTAAACACAGACTTATGTAGTCATTTGTTAACCATAAGATTGACATAATACTGGAACTTTAAGCATCTTGCTGACGAGCAGAAAATAGCGAATAGAAAGCGAGAATTTAAACTTGACATAAATCTCATTGGTTAAGACGTGTTTCTACCTTATTTGGTTATCAGAATTATTATTATTATTATTTGTTTATCGAGTTTCACATTTAGCCAATCAGAAGAGAGGTTAGATAAGTGTGAATGACGCTATTAGTTCGCAGCCAATCAGAATTCGCAAAAATAATGCTCCAAATTTACGTAATCGCATTAAATCAAGTATAGCCAATCAGAAAAAAACTAGAAAAGGGCGCCAAGATTACGTCATCATATCACACCAATGGGAATTCACAAAAAAACGCGCCAAGATTACTTAGAGGCGGAAGTTGTGCTTAAAGGTCTCTGTTGACATCCGCTCGTTCGCCTCGCTAGCTTGACCAATGTTTACTTTCTAAATGTGAGGGTGGAGATATATCTTCCGGGTACCTGATGACTGTGTGTGTGTGTGTGTGTGTGTGTGTGTGTGTGTGTGTGTGTGTGTGTGTGTGAAAATCGCCAGGAGATTTCAACATGAACCAAGAAAGTAATCCATAACTTTCACTTGCTAGGACTTGTACAGACACACACACACACACACATACAGGTACACAGGTATACACATATACTGTACACACAGGTACACAGGTATTCACATATATACACACACAGGTACACAGACATACACACACAGGTACACAGGTATACACACATACACACACACAGGTACACAGGTATACACACTCATGCACACAGGTATACACACACACACACACACACTCACGTGCATAGAATGATCATTAGCCCCAAAATCATCGTCAGTACAGGCACTTAGCTTCGCCAGGCGTTTAATTCCACCCAATAACGACAAACTTAACCCAGACCCTTAAGCAAGCACATCGTCAGGCACTAGGCTTAACCAGGCAATCATTTCCTCTCTATAACTATAATCTAAGCCACGTTAACGCCAGGCGGACCTTCGCTCGCCTCCTCAACAACAGGTGTAGGAGGCCAAGTGAGGCGGTATCTTGGTAGCCTTGACAATATCCTGTTAGCTGAGTTGTCTGAGGCTCCACCCGTTCGTCTCCTGTTACCGTATACCGTTGGTCATATTGCTTCTGTTGATGGTTGTATGGGCCCTGTTACCGTTTACCGTTGGTCATAGACAATTCTGTTGGTTGTAATCGTTGCTGTAGACATTTCTGTTGGCATATATTATTATTATTATCATTAGTAGTAGTAGTAGTAGTAGTAGTGGTGGTAGTATCATTATTATTATTATTTTTAATCTCATCACCACCACCACCATCACCATCACCACCACCATCACCATCACCATCACCACCACCATCACCATCATCACCATCACCATCACCACCACCACCATCACCATCATCATCATCACCATCATCACCACCACCACCACCACCATCACCATCACCACCACCACCATCACCATCACCATCACCACCACCACCATCATCACTAACACAGCACTATCTTGCCCCGACAGAGGAAGGCGCCAGTAAACAGTTCACGTGTGCTCGCGCTATGAAGGGGAGATACGTGTTTGTGCAGATGGTTGGTGTTGAAGGCTCAATGTCTCTCTGTGAAGTCTCTGTTTATTCTACACAAGGTGGGTATATCTCTCTGTCTCTCTGTCTGTCTGTCTCTCTCTCTCTCTCTCTCTCTCTCTCTCTCTCTCTCTCTCTCTCTAACCTGTGTGACCTTGGCTGCCAGATGTACAGCGCCGCCCCCACACCACAAACTCTTTATAACACTTACTAACTCCTTTAAAACACCAAAGACAACTCTAATTATTTATGAGTTATAAATTGTATTATTTTTTAGTTAAATAATGTTAAATTTTACTTAGAAACTTACTTAAAATATGTGATAATAGGAAAGGTTTTATGACGACTGGTTTAGTTACCTGAGATGACCACGCCCGATACTGAGTCACCTCTGGCAGCTCATAGTATAGGCATTTTAACCTTTATTTACCAACGTATCTAAGGCCATGTTGTGTTATTTATCTACATAGAAGTAAAATAAACTAAAGAAGCGGCATTATCTTATATTTGCATTAATATCTAAAAATAAACTATATACCAACACCATAAGGACGATAATATAATTTGAGCTAACGTGTTTGTAACTTTAAATAATTTTGGTCTTTAACGAGAGAAAAAGTAAGGCCCAGTTTTCATTATTTCCTCGGCTTGACACAGATGCAGGTGTTGCCAAGTCATCCTCTCACCACCGCCCTCTCAGCTTCCAGGAAATTACTGTAAAAATAAATTTCCGTCTTATTTATCAGTTAAAAAAATCCAAAACTTTCATAATCATTCTCGTCTAAAGTATTTTCAGGATATGTTATTTATACGTCGAGTGTTGCTTAATTACGTATGCTAAATGATGTTGCAATTGCATGAATTTCTAAATTCAAATATCGACTGATGAAATGATGTTTTTATTGCATCAACCGTTGTATATATAGATAGAAAAGTCATTCCTGCCTCATAATTCCATAATTCGCTTATTGTCGAGTTTTTTTTAGTATTTTACGCAATAATAAATTGAATTATTTTTTAGAATATGGTTGGCAATACTGTTTATAAATACTTCGAATAGGTAACCATTGTCTTCCTTTCCGTAAATGACGAAATATAAATTTTATAAATTGGTATTATTTGCTAAGCTTCTTTTTTAGAATAACTAAATATATAAGTCAATAACGAAGGAAAGTATCATTGATATTTGTTGAGTTAAATTAGGTAAATCTATATTATTATTCTTTAAAATAGAACAAAGTCGCTGTCATTTCAGCACATACGGACACAACTATGTTTATGTTTACCTAAAATTTCGCGCCAAATTCCTCAAATTTTTCATTCATAAATTTGGACGATTTAAAGGTCTTGTCAGTCATGTTGGCGATATAGTTACTAGCTAACTATTAAATTAAATGCCCTACACACACACACACACACACACGAGCTAGCTGTCATATTATCTTTAATAGCATTATTCCAGAGAATAAACATGACAGTTTATACAAATGCCTTTCAGACACACACGAGGCCATTTTGCTCCCAGTACACATAAGCTAATAACACAACAAGAAACACGAAAATCAATTAACAATGACAACAAGTAAAAATAAAAACAAGTGAACAAATTTGAATAAAAAATTCTATTTTTATTACTTCACGACACAAATATTAAAAATTACTCCCTAAAGATATTATTACGGGTGAAATTAACCTTGAAATTTAATTTATGTCCGTAGTCTCTCAGATCTCACGACAGCCATTTTGGATTACGGCCGCCATTTGAAAACAAGAGGGAGAAAGTGTATAAAGTCCGTGATTAATGGCTTCATTTTTTTCTCGAACAATACTTCCGTTCTTTGTTTTGGTTTGTGTAATGATGCGTCTAGGAGTTAATTATGGGAACTTGTTTTGTTGTTGAAATATATTAGGTAAGGGGTTAAATCATCATACTAAAGGGTTAAATCATCATACTCAAGGTTAACTCATCATACCTAAGGGGTTAAATCATCATACTCAAGGGTTAAATCATCACTCATAGTAATCATCATACTCAAGGGGTTAAATCATCATACCAAGGGGTTAAATCATCATACTCCAAGGGTAATCATCATACTAAAGGGTTTAAATCATCATACTCAAGGTTAAATCATCATACTAAGGGGGTTAAATCATCATACTTAAGGGGTTAAATCATCATACTCAAGGGTTAAATCATCATACTCAAGGGGTAAATCATCATACTACAAGGTTAAATCATCTTACTCAAGGTTAAATCATCATACTAAGGGGTTAAATCATCATACTCAAGGGGTTAAATCATCACTAAAGGGGTTAAATCATCATACTAAGGGTTAAATCATCATATACCAAGGGTTAAATCATCCCACTAAGGTTAAATCATCATACTCAAGGGGTTAAATCATCATACTCAAGGGGTTAAATCATCCCACTACAAGTAAATCATCATACTACAAGCAAATCATCATACCAAGGGGTTAAATCATCATACTCAAGGGGTTAAATCATCATACTCAAGGGGTTAAATCATCATACTCAAGGGGTTAAATCATCATACTCAAGGGGTTAAATCATCATACTCAAGGGGTTAATACCATCTCTATTTCGTTTCAGAGTTTTCTAAGGAGAGGTGCACCGATAAGGCTCAGGTCACCTCATTAAGCATCTTTAATCAGACTTGTTATGAACTTCAGGTAAGATGGAATATTGTTATTGTTTTGTGAAAGGTTTGATGTGGGGGTGTTGGTGTGGGGTGTGTGTGGGCGGGGTGTGTGGTGTGTGTGGGTGGGGTGTGGTGTGGGTCAAGATAAACTGAAACACACCCCACCAATCTCTTCTCACCCCCACAGATCAGTGAAGGGGGAGACTTTAACCAGGGTGCCAGGTGTGTGTGTGTGTGGGGGTGTGTGGGTGGGAGGGGTGGGTGGGTGTGGGGTGTGGGTCAAGACAGAAACTAAACACACCCACACCAAACTCTCTTTCACCCAGATCAGTGAAGGGGGGACTTTAACCAGGGTCAGCAGGTGTGTGTGTGTGTGGGTGTGTGTGTGGGGGATGGGGTGTGTGGGTGTGGGTCAAGATAAACCAAACACACCCCACCAAACTCTTTCTCACCCACAGATCAGTGAAGGGGAGACTTTAACCAGGGTCGCCAGGTGTGTGTGTGTGTGGGGGGTGTGGGGTGTGGGGTGTGGGCGAGTGTGGGTGGGGTGTGGGTGTGGGTCAAGACATAAACCAAACACACCCCACCAAACTCTCTTCTCACCCCACAGATCAGTGAAGGGGGAGACTTTAACCAGGGTCGCCAGTACTGCCAGACTCAAGGAGGTGACCTGATCCATGGTATAGGACAAGCTACCCACGCCTACTTGACCTCAGAGCTCGATAGGGTCAAGGACAAGATGAAGACGATGTTAGTCTGGATAGGCGCCCAGCGAGAGCCTCATTTTGTGTCCAGAACTTGGCGATGGGTGGATGGTAAGTGTTCTATCTATCCTTCTATCCATCTATCTATCTATATAAGTATAAGTATATATATATGATCCCTCAGTTACGTTTATATTAAGACAATTTATCGACAAAAATATCAATAACAAAAATAAATAAATATAATTAATCTAAAAATTGTCAAAAATACTTAAAAAGAAATAAGAAAATTAATTGAAAAATACGTTTATATAATTGGTCCCTTTGTTATTATGATCAAATTATAGTTGAAGTTAATATATAATAAATGTAGTTTAAATAAATAACTTAAGTCATTTATTAATTAGAGATTAGTTTTTATTAAAGTGATAAGATAATTGATTGATAGATACGATTTTATAAGAATTTAAGTAAAAGATAATAATTATTTTAGTTTTTATTTGACTCAGATGTAAACATGGTGGAGCTTTTGGTCCAGGAATTCCATTTGTTTATCTGTTTTATGTTAATTTACGGCATAATAACCCACAAGGGCCATTAATCCGGAAGAGATAATTAAGACAACATATAACTCTACATGTTGGTGAGTTATAATACGTAATAAGTTAAGTTAATCAACAAAAATAAGTGAAAATAAGAAGGTACCTCATATGAGCGTCATTGAGATGTACTTATATTAGGGCTTTAAATTATCACTTTTATCCCAGTTTGTCTCTTAATTGTCTTATAACAACTTTGTCTTAACCATAAGTTATATATCATCAATTATAACATTTTTTTATAATATATCTTCCATCACAAAAGGATAATAACCCCATATAGTTAATTAACATAACTGGTCACGGTAAAATAGCCACTACATTATTTTTTGTAACTAATTTAAATAAAGTTTGGAAGAATTTTAATGGAACTATGGTTATTTTTTGAGGGTAATTGCGGGTAGTTTTGTCGTTATTTATTGTATTTATTTGTTTATTGAGATATTGGTACCTTATGTATGTGGTTGTTGTTAATGTGTTTGTTTTTGCAGACGGGGTAGTGGAGAACCCTCGGTGGGGCCACGATCAACCCAACAACTACAACGGTGAACAGAACTGTGTGGTGCTGGACGGTGGACGAGAGTGGACCTGGAACGATGTCGGTTGTGAGCTCAACTATCTACACTGGATATGTCAATTTAGTGAGTTTTGTGGATTAGGTTAGGGTCGTTTAGGGTAGGGTGGGGTGGATTAAGGTAGGGAGGGGTGGATTAAGGTAGGGAGGGGTGGATTAAGGTAGGTTAGGGTGGATTAGGGTAGTTTAGGGTAAGTTAAGGTGGATTAGGGTATGTTAGTTTAGGGTAGGTTAGGTTAGCGTGGATTAGGGTAGGTAGGTTAGGTTAGGTTCCCCCATAAAACACAATAACTCAAAACTTCCCCCGTTGACAGGACCAACCTCCTGTGGCTCCCCCGACAAGCACGAGAACACCACCGTCAACAGCCAGGACACCTCCACGGGGTCGACGGTCACCTACGAGTGTCCTGAGGGGAACGTGGTGCTGGGTGACTCCTCCAGAACCTGTTTACCTACTGGCTTCTGGAGTGGTTCAGCACCTAAGTGTAAATGTGAGTACAGCACACAACACAGTACAGGCCTAAAGAGGTTTGGTGTTTATCACAGCAACGAAAATTGTAATGTAACTTGAGTACACAGATAAAATGTAATGTTTGTAGAGTACATGTGTCAAGATGGAAGTATATGTAACTGAGTACATTTTTTTAAGATGTATTGATGTGTTTATGAGAGAAAGGAAAATTGTAATGTACTTAACTTGAGTACATTAATGTTATATTGTACTCATTAATGAAACAATTGAGATCATAATTAAATAGTTTTTATTATATTTATTACTGTATTAATTATTGTCATACATACATACTGTACATACACACATACATACACTCATACATACACTCATACATTCACACATAGTTAACTACTCTTCCACACACACCCACACACACCCACACACACACACACACACACACACACACACACACACACACCCACACACACACACACACACACACACACACACACACACACACACACACACACACACACACACACACACACACCTAACAATTTAACCCCCCTCCCCCCATTCCAGACATGGACTGCGGCTCCCCTAAAGAGATCGAACACGGATCCTTCGTGCTAGTGAACGACCGAACGACCTATGGGGCCAAGGTGGTGTACGAGTGTCAGGAGAACTACACCATCGCAGGGGAGAACTCGGCTCTTTGTTCCGAGGATGGATCGTGGTCGCCCGAGTCTCCAGAGTGCCTGTGTTAGTTCTCTTCTGGCCTGGGGTCCTGGTTCTTGTACATATATTGACTGACAGATAGATTGATTGACAGATAGATTGATAAATAGATCGATAGACGGATATATAAAATTGCACCGTAAAAACACGTGATAAATCGTATCCAAATTGTACCATAACATCGTACCAACAGATTCTTGGTGTCCGGACGTTGTACCGCCTGTCCACGGCAAGGTTGAGATGAGTGGCCGCCGGGCTGGTGACACTACCGCGTTTACCTGTGACTCTGGCTATAATTTACAGGGTCTTAAGGTGTGTTGGCTATAATTTACAGGGTCTTAAGGTGTGTTGGCTATAATTTACAGTGTCTTCAGGTGTGTTGGCTATAATTTACAGGATCTTAAGGTGTGTTGGCTATAATTTACAGGGTCTTAAGGTGTGTTGGCTATAATTTACAGGGTCTTAAGGTGTGTTGAGTAATTATATCACTATTTTTAAGACAGTTTATGAATCATAGGTATAAAAATAATCATAATCTATAACTAACAGTGAAAATACAGGGTTTTTTTCTTTGTGGTAATATAATAATGAGAATAAACTTGAAAATATTGCTTAAAAATATAATTTTCAACCCAAAAGGTGAACAAATTGGTGTTGGACTAGACCACAATATTGTACTGTATAAAAATTGCTTCTGGGTTCAACTAAAAATATGACAATCGATTTAAATATGAAAATCCAAATACTTGAGGCAAATTAACTCACTGCAGACTGCAATATGTGTGGTACTCATAACAATTTAGGTGTTTGTGATGTCTGAATGGTAAATACTCGAGTTAGGTCGTTAATATGTAGTTCCTGAAGTATATATGTAACTTAGTGGTCATTACTGGTAGCCATGGGAGTTGTTTTTGATGCATTATTATTGTTAAGCTGTTGTTAATCACTTTTTAAGCTGTTGTTAATCACTTGTTAAGCTGTTGTTAATCTGCAGTTTGTCATCATCATCACTAAATAACTTATCTCAATATGTTTTACGTTCACAACTTTATAGAGAAGAAACAGTTCCTTTGTTACATTATTGTTACTCTTATATAAAACTTCACTATGGCAGCAAAAATGGACCAAGACGACAGTTTGTTCCAAGTTATTATTAAAATGTTACCAAGACTGATGACCCGCAGCAGAGTCCAGTACCAGGCTAATATGTTTACTGAGTCCTACATTCTTATCCCAGACAGTACCCCCTCCCACCCCCCCACACCCTCCCACCCACCCAGTCCTTTAAAGTAGGTGTCTTGACTGTTGTTGTTTGCAGACTGTCTCATGTACACCGGGAGGGATGTGGTCAGGTGTGGCTCCCAGAAGACGTCTCGTTGTTGATGTTGTTTAATTTTTTTACAGACTGTGTCCTGTACACTGGGAGGGATCTGGTCAGGTGTGGCTCCCACTTGTAGGTTCATCGACTGTGGCATCCCCGAGGACCTGAGAGATGGTCAGGTGAGTCTGGGATTGGTCTGGGCAGTTTGGGATTGGTTGGATGGGTAGGTAAGTTAAGTTTTATTAGGTTAGATTAAGTTACATCAGATTTGGTTAGGTTAGGGAAGGTTAGACTAGACTAGGTTAAGTTAGGTTAGGTTAAGGTGTTAAATAATTAGGTAAAACAGGCCACTAACACCTCCCTCTCACTCACAGATGACCCTGGTTAATGGCACCACTTATCTCGGGTCAATGGCGAGGTACGAGTGTGGCGACGACTTCTGGTTGGACGGCCCTGAGGAGAGGGTGTGTCTTGATGATGGCCACTGGAGCGATGTTTCTCCTCTGTGTGATGGTAAGATGGTGGTGGTGATAATAGTAACACTGATAATTCTACTACCACTATAATCTTTGGCTCTCATGTTCGAGGACAGCTGTGAGTTTGTTTAAGGTGTAGAAGCTGTCACCAACACTACAACCACACCATAAGTTAATGAGTTGCATGACCCAGTGTTTAAGGAGTAGAAGCTGTCACCAACACAACAACCACACCCTAAGTTAACGAGCTGCATGACCCAGTGTTTAAGGAGTAGAAGCTGTCACCAACACAACAACCACACCCTAAGTTAACGAGCTGCATGACCCAGTGTTTAAGGTGTAGAAGCTGTCACCAACACAACAACCACACCCTAAGTTAACGAGCTGTATGACCCAGTGTTTAAGTAATGTAGCTCTGTCACCAACACAACAACCACACCCTAAGTTAACGAGCTGCATGACCCAGTGTTTAAGGTGTAGAAGCTGTCATAACTCTAAAACCACACCCTAGGTTTCGGCTGCATGACCAGTGTTTAATGTGTAGAAGCTGTCACCAACACAACAACCACACCCTAAGTTAATGAGCTGCATGACAGTGTTTATGTGAAGGCTGCCAACACCACAACCACACCCTAAGTTAACAGGCTGTATGACCCGTGTTTAAGGTGTAGAAGCTGTCACCAACACAAAACCACACCCTAAGTTTACAGCTGCATGACCCAGTGTTTTGTGTGAGCTGTCACCAATACAACACACACCCTGAGTTAACAAGCTGCATGACCAGTGTCAAGGAATAGTCGAGAAGACCGACACTCACCAACTGCACTGGCGAACCTAACCATTACCTTGAACACCATCCTGAAATTGATTAACTGCGACTAATTTACTACTACTACTACTACTACTACTACTACTACTACTACTACAGTACAACCTCGAAAATTTGAATTGCATGGGCCCATAAAGTATACGAATTATAGATGTATGGAAACACCAGAGCAAATTGTTGTATCAAAACTTGCGACAAAAATTATTTACATATCTAAAAACTGTCAATAAGTAATAGATATAATAAAGAATTACTGTATTTATATTCAACAACAATTATTTTAGTATATTTAGAACATTATAGCTACAGTGGTCTCCATGTAATCCTGCCAGTCTCCAGTACAGTCTCCATGTAATCCTGCCAGTCTCCAGTACAGTCTCCATGTAATCCTGCCAGTCTCCAGTACAGTCTCCACATACTGTACAACACTCTGTCTCCATCCACCTTCACTCTACTGGTTACAATACATGACCTAGCATGTCTTGGATCCTGGATGCTGTTGTTGCCCTCAGCATTATGATCACATTTGAAAGCTTCAATTATTATGGCGATATTTTCAAATTATAAACCTATAATTTTGGCTCTTATTTTTAATTAGATGCTACTCGAATTTTACTTTGTATGTGAATTAATTACTCAACTAGTGTACCCTCATTAATCACCTCTTACAGTTGTGACATGTAACGAGCCTATAGTACCCCACGGAGGGTTCGTGACTGGCTACAGCTTCGACGTCCACGCAGAGGTCGAGTACCACTGTGAGCACGGCCACTTTCTGACCGGAGACAACATCCGTGTTTGTACCCGCAGTGGAGTGTGGAGCGGTGATGTTCCCTCCTGTACTTGTGAGTTTACTGTCATTATGTTGTTGTCACTCTGATAACATATCTGTGTTTATATGAACATTAGACACCCTTGTATGTGTGTGTGTGAGAGCTATAAGACACCCTGTACATGTGTGTGTGAACTATAAGACACCCTGTACATGTGTGTGTGAACTATAAGACACCCTGTACATGTGTGTGTGAACTATAAGACACCCTGTACATGTGTGTGTGAACTATAAGACACCTGTACATGTGTGTGTGTACTATAAGACACCTGTATGTGTGTGTGAACATGTGTGTGTGACACTATGTGTGTGTGAAGACACCCTGTACATGTGTGTGTGTGAACTATAAGACACCCTGTACATGTGTGTGTGAACTATAAGACACCCTGTACATGTGTGTGTGAACTATAAGACACCCTGTACATGTGTGTGTGAACTATAAGACACCCTGTACATGTGTGTGTGAACTATAAGACACCCTGTACATGTGTGTGTGAACTATAAGACACCCTGTACATGTGTGTGTGAACTATAAGACACCCTGTACATGTGTGTGTGAACTATAAGACACCCTGTACATGTGTGTGTTTGAACTATAAGACACCCTGTACATGTGTGTGTGTGACCTATAAGACACCCTGTACATGTGTGTGTTTGAACTATAAGACACCCTGTACATGTGTGTGTGTGAACTATAAGACACCCTGTACATGTGTGTGTGTGACCTATAAGACACCCTGTACATGGTAAATCAACATAAACACATATAATTATCTCACTAACAGCACAAACATGTCTAATACGCATCCTCTCCCCAGATGTGGACTGCGGGAGCGTACCGACCATGTCTCGGGGCGAAGTTTTGTATGTAAACGAATCTACGTTCTTGGACACTCAGCTAGAATACGTCTGCAACCCGAACTTCCGCTTAGTTGGAGAGAAATACCGCGTGTGTGGCAGAGACTCTAAATGGGGTGGTGAACAACCCAAGTGTGAAGGTGAGGTAGTGTGTGTGTGTCTTAAAACATCTTCACATTGTTCCTGTCATTCACTAAAGAAGGTTAGGTAAGATTAGTGGTACAGTATGTTAATCTGGGTGAGGATAGGTTAATGTTTTGTTGGATTAAGTTAGCATTAGTGTAGTTAATATTAAGGTGAAAGAACCTAACCTAACCAAACTTACCCTACCCTAGCCTAACCATAACATACCCTAACCTAACCAACACGTTCTATTGACAGAGATCCGCTGCCCCGAGCCTCAGCACCCTCCTAAGACCAAGATTTCCGTCGCTGGTAACGACCGTCGCATGAGCACGACCATAGCTCGGAGACGAGAACACGTCTCCCTGGACAGCACCTACAGGTATAGTACTGGAATGATACCCCAATGAAATCACCAATATCAATATTTAAGTAATAGGACGGTAGTTAACGATCTTTGGACGTAACTACTCCCACAGGTATACAGCTCCTCCCAGACTTACGACGGGGTTAGGGACCCAAATCCAGGTCGTAAGTCGGAAATGCTTAAATAATACATAGAAAATCTAAAATGGGTGTCTCTTTTTCGTCTCAGCACCACAAAACTCTCTCTTTTAAGCTTGCCAGCCATTTTAAGGTGAATTACAAACAAAAATTTTGTCTGTGTACTGACGTCGGGACTCGAAAATAAGTAATTTAACAAAATTTTGGTACGACTGAGGCAGGTCGTAAGTGCGGGTGGTCGTAAGTCGGGGAGGAGCTGTAGTTAATCCCACAGGTATATAGTTAATCCCACAGCAGTAATACCTATATAGTCTACATAACTTAGCAAGGCCGTGGGCTGGTAACACACGTCTTGCCCGCGGTGTCCACTATGTCTGTCTGGATGTGGGTCACACCCATTACAGTATAGTACCTCCTTCTTTCCTCACACTGTTGAATGCTCTGCCTTCTTCTGTGTTTCCATACTCATACAATCTGTCTCACTTCAAAAAGCTGGTTTTCCGGGATCTTCTTGTTGTACATTAATATAACCTTTTTATTTTGTATTATTAATTTATTCTACTCTTATCCCCCGTTGTGGGTGGGTGACCTGTGCCTGGGTGGGTTATTACCCGTTAAAACAATGGATTTACATAAGCATATATGAAATAAATCCCATCTAATACTAACATACAGATTTATAATGAATAAATCCCACCTAACCTCAGAGTTAATATGTATCTGGCGACATTAACAGTATATTAACAGTATAGTAACAGTACATTAACAGTATATTAACAGTACATTAACAGTATATTAACAGTATAGTAACAGGAACGATTCTCCGCAGGGTTGGCAGCATCGTGACTTATCGTTGTGATAGAGGTTATGTTGTGGACGGCCAGAGTATGAGGACTTGTAAGGCCGATGGGACGTGGTCCAATGAATCTCCCACGTGCAAGTGTGAGTACAGTGTTGTTGATGTACTATGTTATGGAGGGAATATTGTTGAGAATTACTGTTTCTTTGTCACTCTAACACTCGCTCATACAGTCAGTCAGTCAGTCACTCACTCACCTACTGACAGTCATACAGTTAGTTACCTACTTATACATTCATTCCCAGTCAGTCAGTCACTCAAGGCAACCATGAAACCTTCCCCACACTCCAGCCTCTGTCATAATCCTTTCATAACCAGTCAGTCAGTCACTCAAGGCAACCATGAAACCTTCCCCACACTCCAGCCTCTGTCATAATCCTTTCATAACCAGAAGAGGAGGAGAAGAGAAGGTTTCCAGTCACCCAAATGAAACCTCCTCAATCAGCTGACATTTTTGAAACCTTCCCTACAAACCAACCTCTGTGATAACCCATTTATAACCAGGTTTCCTTGATAGTGAACCAAAAGAGAGGGTTTCCAATCACGCAAATAAAACCTCTTCAATCTTCTGACACCCATAAATCCCCCCCACTCTTTAATTCACATCTATCCGTCTATATCCAGATGTGGACTGTGGACTGCCAGAGAGCATTAATCCGGGCACGTTCCGGCTCCTCAGCAACACCACTAGCTACGGATCTCAGGTGTCATATGAATGCAGCGAACATTGGAAGCTGGAGGGACGGATTCGACGGTTTTGTCAGGAGAACGGCACCTGGGTCGGGGAGACGCCCAAGTGTGTCGGTAAGTTGCCATATTTTTTACTTTAATTTACTGTATTTTGTCAATATATTTGTTGTTAAGTTATTTTAGAAGTAAATAAGTTATGATATAGAGGTATTTTAAACATTGTTCTGTACACAGCTTTTGTTTAGACTAGTGTACAAATGTGTCTTAAGAACGTCCTCAAGAGCTGAACCTGTGATGACTTAACCTCTTGAGTATAATGCTATTGAACTCAGGGTTAAGTCATCATACTCAGGGTTAAGTCATCATACTCAGGGTTAAGTCATCATACTCAGGGTTAAGTCATCATATTCAGGGTTAAGTCATCATACTCAGGGTTAAGTCATCATATCAGGGTTAAGTCATCATATTCAGGGTTAAGTCATCATACTCAGGGTTAAGTCATCATATTCAGGGTTAAGTCATCATACTCAGGGTTAAGTCATCATACTCAGGGTTAAGTCATCATACTCAGGGTTAAGTCATCATACTCAGGGTTAAGTCATCATACTCAGGGTTAAGTCATCATACTCAGGGTTAAGTCATCATACTCAGGGTTAAGTCATCATATTCAGGGTTAAGTCATCATACTCAGGGTCTGCCTGTGATTCAAATTGACAAGAATAACTTAAAACAATTTCAGTAATGTAAACTAATTTTTATATTTTGATTAACATACCTGCTAATAGATAGATAGATGGATAGATGGTTTGATAGATGGATAGATAGATGGATAGATGTTTTGATAGATGGATAGTTAGATAGATAGATGGATAGATACCATTATTTCCACCATTTCCAACACACTAACTGTTGTCCTGACTCATGCCAACAGAGGTCATGTGCCCGGAGCTACAGTCAGCATTGACAGAAGCGTTGACGGTGAAGGAAGGCGATCGCAGGGTCGGGTCGTCGGCCGTGTACAGCTGTGGGGTCGGCCGAGTGCTGGTCGGGGAGTCTACTCGGAGCTGCAAGACTCATGGCATCTGGACGGGAACTCAACCTAGATGTGAATGTATGTTGAGTGTGTGTGTGTCTGTACGTTTAGCTGTCAGAGGGATGATGTTTTTGTCGTTGGAGGTCAGAGTCACTCATAAACACAGCTATGGGGTCCAGGTGATTGATAATCTTCCGAGATGTTTTTTTTTGTGTTTTGATAATATTGTGGTGTGATAATTTCAATGTTTGTTTGTTTTGTGTGACTGTTTTGTTATTACCACAATCAGTCAATGAATCAATCAATTATATATAATAATTTAGTTATTTCATTAATATTTGTTAGTTTAAATTATTTTGTTAACTTTATGTGATGATAATTTAATAATAAGTCTCCTATATATGCATCTCTATATTTTCAGTATACAGTGCATGTATGTATACAATCACATGTATACTTAAGTAAATACATGTATGTATAAATGCAGCCACATAATGTATCCATGTTACCAGAGCCCCCCAAAAAACAGGTTATAGAATTCTTTTAATAATATATCCCAGTGATTACCTAACCTAACCCAACCCAGCCCAGCCCAACCCATCCCACCTATACCAGTACGACCTAAGACGACCTCTCGTTCCACAGGGGTGTCGTGTATGATGCCAGAGGAGATAGATAACGGAAGAATCGTCAGGTTAAACGAGTCGTTGCTGTACGGGGCTGTCGTGGAGTATCTGTGTTTCCCCAAGTACAAGTTAAACGGACCTTTTAACAGGTCGTGTACGGCTGAGGGCGTGTGGTCTGGTGTAGCCCCTCTCTGTAAGAGTGAGTAGTGTCTTGTTTATCTGTTGTAGTGGTAACCTAACCTAACCTTACCTTACCCTACCTAACATCTTAGCCCGGTGGTTCCCAAACACGGGGTCACGACACAAGATGCATCATAAGGGGTCACATAGAGCTGGTAGTCCAGGTGTCAAGGAATGAAGAGCGTGGCCCAGGTGTTGTCTCGTTAAGTCGGGACAATAAATTATGGTCGAGGTAATAATGCAGTTACTCTCCTTGTGTCAGGTCAGGTCAGGGAAGGGAAGGTTAATGCTGATGACACGTTATGCAAGAAAAAATGGCAGCAAATTTCAATGATAGATTCCCTGAGTTGCTTACTGAGTCATTGAGTCTTGTTCAGTTTCTGTTCAAGTTCAGATATAAAACAGTGTGGCTCTTTGGTCTTCTAGGTAGCAGAATTACAGCCTGACAATGAGCCAAGGATGAATCTTACCTTCTATGATGACATCAATGTTTTGGGCTATTTATCAAATTAACATTCAGCTCTAAAAATAAAACTATCAAGATTGTGATACAATTTGGAAGCTCCTATGTGTGTGAGGCAGCTTTCCTGTCATTGGTGTTTATATAAAAGATTATTACCATAACCATATATCAAATTTAAACTGAGAAAATTGTCTACTGCGTTGTTTAATTCTACCCCCAGTAAAGAGATTCTTTTAAATGATACTCGACACACACGTTAGATATGAATTATGACTGATGTAACTTGTATTGAAAATTAATTAAATGTTCAAGTGACTTACTTACAGCATGACAGAGATGTAACTAAGAGCATAATGTTGCTTAACTAAGTAATTATATCCCAAGTATAGAACATTAAATGATCATATTAAACATGACAATTATGGCCTCTTTCTGCCTTTTACTCTACTTAATTATGTAATACATTTTCCTTACTTGTTTTATAGTTAAATACATACATCAATATGTCTGTACTTACTCTCAGGAACCTCATCTATACACCATACTGCATGTAATGAGTCACACTGGAGGAGCGACAGTAGTAAACGTGGTTGTACTTGAGAACCCCGTGTCTTAGCCATTGAGATGTAACTAATATGATATCAAGGGCAGACCCAGTGGGGGTCCTTGGAGTCCACAACCTCCCTTTACACCAGAAAATTCTAATACTTCTTCTTTAATGCAGTATTGTACTAAGGTGTTTTCGTATAGTAAAAAGTAATTACTATTGACTTCAGAATATCTCCTATCACCCGGCTTCAAAATGGCCTCAAAATGCCCTTGATATTGGTCACATTTCAACAAATTATTCTGGGGGTTTACAGCACCCCCCAGTTGGGTGGACTCAATCAGCTGGTCATGCTCCCCCACCCACACCTTCTTGGACACTCCCCCTCCCCCCTTTGATATTCCTGGATCTGCCCCGGGATATTCCATTACCAAATATCATAGGATCATTGAACTAGAGAGCCAGGCATACCAACCCTCCCATGATGAGTAGCACTTAGGAAACCATCGGACCCATCCTGGCTTGAGATGAGTACAGTGCTTATTGAGATGTGTACGCTGCTTATTGAGATGTACAGTACTTATTGGCATGTGTACATTGCTTATTGAGATGTGTACGCTGCTTATTGAGATGTACAGTACTTATTGGCATGTGTACATTGCTTATTGAGATGTGTACGCTGCTTATTGAGATGTACAGTACTTATTGGCATGTGTACATTGCTTATTGAGATGTGTACGTTGCTTATTGAGATGTGTACGTTATTTAATAATTCCACAGTGGACATTACCGACTACGGGATCTTTGAAGACAACACCGTCGACGGCACGAGTAACGAGGCTCGCGGCGGTCCTCCCGGCTCTCTCGAAGAAGCCTCCAACACTGGTCTATACGTGGGCCTAGCTGTTGGTCTTATTGCCGTCATTGTCGTCGCTCTTCTCTTCATTTTCCTGAGAACGTGAGTCTTATTATACCCTTGTGTATAATATTTTAGTGTTATTTTATGACATATGAACAAAACTTTAAGAGAATATAAAGTTTTCCATTATGATTCATTCACTGTTATTTTATATGTTATTTTCTTGTTATTTTACTGCATATAGGTGAAGATTTAAGACACAGTGATTTATTTTACTGATAACATTAACACCTTCTGCTACTCCTCCAGGAGACACCAGCAGAAGGGTAAGGAGCGAGAGCCACCAGTGACCCTGAAGCCTTCAGAAAGTCGTCATAACGATGCCATGAGCTACGCCGACCTCAGCGACCCCACAACAGGTGAGGTCGTTTAGGGTCGAGTATAGTAGTTAGTAGTTGATGTTGTTGTCGACCTCTATATATCGGGTTTCTCTCTGTAGTTCATTAAATGAGGGTTTCAAAAACCTCTCCATACAGTTCATTAAATAAAAGTTCCGCTGTATTTAGATTTTTTTAGAATTTGAATTTATTTTTGTATTATTTTAGTTGTTTTTGTTGTATTACTTTAGTTGTTTTTGTTGTGTTATTTTAGTTGTATTATTTGTTTATTATTTGTGTACATCATTTTCTTCCTTTCCAATCACTAAAACTGTCCTCCCCTCCTCTCCCTCCCCTTCCGCCATCACTAAAAGACGTTCGTTTATTTCATCAGGGAATAATATTTACGAGAATATCCCAGAGGACGTGGAAGAGTACGGGGAAGAGTACGCAGACATGTCCTCTGGTAGCTACAACAACTCCCCCGCTCACACGTACTCTAACGGCCACCAGCCGGTCTACAGCAACGGCATGATGGCCCCGACGGCGTCGTTAAACCGCCCTCCCGCCCATATCATGAGACGACCTCGTATGCCTCCGCCTCAACCGCCCACCGTCCCCACGACTGAGCCCCCATCCGTAGTGACGATCAATGGGGTCACGTTGTCGTCTCAGGGAACCTAAACTATCGTTGTCCCTTAACGATCGCCCTTGACGTCTATCAATAACACCATATCTATAACGCCATCTATAATGCTTTGGTTATATCGTCAGGTTTAGTGAATAGCGTCATTTGATGTATAATGAAGAGCGTCATTTGATGTATAATGATTGATGTGGGTTGATGTATAATGATTGATGTGGGTTGATGTATAATGATTGATGTGGGTTGATGTATAATGATTGATGTGGGTTGATGTATAATGATTGATGTGGCAAATGTTGATAAATATGTTGTAGAATGTGTGTGGAGTTATTTGTGTCATTGTAGAATCGAATAACATCGCAGTTAGGAGAGAACATGCTGGTATACTTGAAGAACACATCAATAACATTACAGATAGAACACACTGCTATAATTATACTGAAGAACACATCAATAACATTACAGATAGAACACACTGCTATAATTATACTGAAGAACACATCAATAACATTACAGATAGAACACACTGCTATAATTATACTGAAGAACACATCAATAACAGATAGAACACACTGCTATAATTATACTGAAGAACACATCAATAACATTATAGAACACACTGCTATATACTGAAGAACACATCAATAACTGAAGAACACACTGCTATAATTATACTGAAGAACACATCAATAACATTACAGATAGAACACACTGCTATAATTATACTGAAGAACACATCAATAACATTACAGATAGAACACACTGCTATAATTATACTGAAGAACACATCAATAACATTACAGATAGAACACACTGCTATAATTATACTGAAGAACACATCAATAACATTACAGATAGAACACACTGCTATAATTATACTGAAGAACACATCACTCTTAATGTTCTTCATCTAGTAAATATTCACAAGTTGACCACATTCTATAATTGCTATAATTCCTGTTATTTAAGTTCTATAATGGTTCAGATGTTGTATGGATACCCTGTATAACATGTATGTATAATTGTATATGTATAATCATGTGTACATTATCATACATAGATAATAAGCGATGATTGTGTATTGGTTGTTACAGAAGCAGATTATAGCTCTTGAAACAACTTCACAGAAACCACTTATAAAACTCTTACTTATGCTACTTATATCACTTATTAAATGGCCATACACACTGCTACTGTTATTACTTAATTAATGCAGTACTTGTTGGTTTATGCTTTGAATTCTTACTCAAATGCTGAAGAAAAGTGGCGTTATTTACTGTTGTGGAAATTATCGGTTAGTTTGTTGTAATCGGGGAGGTAATTATCGGTTAGTTTGTTGTAATCGGGGAGAAAATTAGCGACTGATAAATACTTGTACATACGCGCTTGTAGACACTCTTAACCCCAGACCTGGCATAGCACGTGCTGGTCACACACACACACACACACACACACACACACACACACACACATACACCTGAGCACTGTTGTTGTATATAGAATTTTCTTCACCTTAGTTTCAATATATAAAAGTTATATAAATGTATATTGTTTATATAATGGATCAAATAGGGGGTGGACGTCCATTATACCGAGGTTCCGTTAGTTGTGAGACCCCCATTTAACGGATTGGGTAGAGTTGGACATCCGTTATATCGAGGTTTCACTGAACTGCCTATATTTTTATATGAATTACTGGAAGAAATTTGTGGTTTAGTGTTGGTTAGGTTAAGTTATGGGAGAGTTTGTGTGTGTGGGAGGGGGTGTGTGTGTGGGTGTGGGTGCGGGTGTGGGTGGGTGTGTATGTGTGTGTGTGTATCTAATCTTTCTCCATACGAACACACACAAATGCACTGTAAACATCTCTCCACACACACACAAGCCATCATTGACCCTTCAACTTGACCCATTAACAGGTTATCTGATGTTAACTGACAAGTATAGTGGAGAAAGATGATCTCAGATGACCTCTCACAATATATCAAACAGTCCAGCGGAAAAGTGAGTAAATCTGACAGTGTAGAGACCAGATTTGTGTTAAGCTGAAATATGAATTACAAAGACGAAATCTGCCTTATTAATGAGACGAAATCTGCCTTATTAATGAGACGAAATCTGCCTTATTACTGAGACGAAATCTGCCTTATTACTGAGACAAAATCTGCCTTATTATGGAAAGTTAGAATACTGTATCATGTTGAGAATCCAGTTAGGTATTTCACTTAATACTGTAATGTACTGTAATGCCTAAGTTGTGTACTGTAGCTTTCAGATGTACAGAAGTGACTGGGTACGCGACAACTAAGACACAAACATTCCTGGTGTTTTGAGATTTATCGTGAAAATAATAAAAACATCTTTTCTGCCCGAGGCCCCCAAGGATAAATTGTATCTGTCATCGTTATGTTTTAATAATTGGGAAGGTCGTCCGGTAGTTGACGTCGAGTGGAATATAATTCTCTCGTCTAGTCTAGTCTAACAGTTTAAGAAGAATAACAATTTTACTGACCCAGCGTTCCAGTGTTGGATCGACGGGGAATGTTATGACTTTAGTCTTGTGTCGATTAGAGTTATAATTTTATTCACCTGTCGATTTGGTGAAATGGTAATTGGTGATAGTTGAGATGTCATATTTTATGGTGTGACTAAATGGAGTATATAATGGGTGTCCCAATTTACCTAAGGTCCAATTTATGTAGATTTTGTCTCCTAATTAGTGTTAAGTGAATGTGTCTAATTAAGGTAGAGTCTCTGTGTGTGGTAACTTACTGTAAGTGAGTCGGTTAGATACGTCACCAGTTAGGAGGAAAATTTAACGTAGGAACCTTTGAGAATCCATCTTTGTGTGGTAGCTTAAGTGAGTCAGTTAGATACGTTCTCACATCACCAGTTAGGAGGAAAATTTAACGTAGGAACCTTTGAGAATCCATCTTTGTGTGGTAGCTTAAGTGAGTCAGTTAGATACGTTCTCACATCACCAGTTAGGAAGAAAATTTAACGTAGGAACCTTTGAGAATCCATCTTTGTGTGGTAGCTTAAGTGAGTCAGTTAGATACGTTCTCACATCACCAGTTAGGAGGAAAATTTAACGTAGGAACCTTTGAGAATCCATCTTTGTGTGGTAGCTTAAGTGAGTCAGTTAGATACGTTCTCACATCACCAGTTAGGAGGAAAACTTAACGTAGGAACCTTTGAGAATCCATCTTTGTGTGGTAGCTTAAGTGAGTCAGTTAGATACGTTCTCACATCACCAGTTAGGAGGAAAACTTAACGTAGGAACCTTTGAGAATCCATCTTTGTGTGGTAGCTTAAGTGAGTCAGTTAGATACGTTCTCACATCACCAGTTAGGAGGAAAACTTAACGTAGGAACCTTTGAGAATCCATCTTTGTGTGGTAGCTTAAGTGAGTCAGTTAGATACGTTCTCACATCACCAGTTAGGAGGAAAACTTAACGTAGGAACCTTTGAGAATCCATCTTTGTGTGGTAGCTTAAGAGAGTCAATTAGATACATCACCAGTTAGGAGGAAAACTTAACGTAGGAACCTTTGAGAATCCATCTTTGTGTGGTAGCTTAAGTGAGTCAATTAGATACGTCACCAGTTAGGAGGAAAACTGAACGTAGGAACCTTTGAGAATTAATAGTAATATTCTTCATTATAAAATACAATAAATAAATTCTACATTACTGTATTTTTCCCATCTTAGATTAAATGAACTTTTATGTATGATTTTGTCAATGTGTATATGTATGTATGTTCAAGTATGTATGTTTATGTACGAGTCTTAGAATATGTATCCCGAATACGACCTTATGTCTCGAGTACGACTTCAAGCTCGAGTAGGACTCACACATGGAGTCGTATTTGTACCTCTAGTAGACTGGCTGTGAACAAGGAACCATAGACTGTTAACTGTCAGTATCAACCAGTCAAAGTGTGGAGGTTTATTTAACAATTAATGGCCATCTGAAAAATGTTGTAATTTTTTGTAAATAATAAAATAGTCCCTTGTATAATAAATTATCCAATTACAATATTTTTTATTTATTGTTAATTTACATTGAATAAACATTAGTAAACATGGCAGCTGTGAATGTTAGGAAGATTATTAACACTAAAAGTGTTTTGAAGTTAAGGAAACGTTTTTGGGGTGTTTTAAAGTTAAGAGCACGTCTACCCACAGTTCCCCATGCCTGCCCATGCCTGCTCACACCTGCCAATTCTATTTACCTACCCACCTACCTACCAATGGTCGGGTCTCTAACATGTTGGAGCAGAAAATTATCTCTCAGAGTTTCTACAAAAAGAGTAGCAGGGTTATTCAAGTCATTTGGGGTGAACTTGTTTCCCCAGTCGATGTCGCCATAGTTAAAGTCCCCCATGATAAGGAGATGGCTAGGGTTGAGCATTGCTGCATTGTCTATTAAGGCTCTTCAGTTCTTTTGGTTTAGTGGGCCACAGTTTGGGGATCTGTAGATACACCCGACAATAAGTAAGTCCCCTCCCTTTATTTTAATTTTACACCACTTGGACTCTTCAAAAACATCCTCTCCCTGTACCCTCACCTGGCTGGCTCTAAGGTCTTGCCTAGCATAGATAACCACACCCCTATTGCAAGTTTCTTGAGAAAGGTTCGTAAATGAGTCATATCCAGCAATACTGAACTCACAATACGACACACTGAAGGTAAGAGGCCCTTAAAATAATGTACTATTCCAGATGATACTAAATGTAACATAATACTTCGTTGTGATAAATGTTCAGTTTATATCAGGTGCCTTCAAGAGTGCTCAGGTTCTCAACTGGCTCAGCCATGTTATTATTATTTTTAATTGACTGTATCTCTGTTTTTATGGCTAAATAAACTGTTTCAATCAATAGGCATTCAGAGTGTAGTTACGTCACAGCTTAATTAACTCGGCTTACAATCGTCAAACAAACGTCAGTTAAATATAGGCGAAGATTAATTTTAACCTTGGTGGATTAGTTAGGTGGATTAATCAGTTAATCCAGGTAATTAAAATATAGGTTAAATAATCATAATTAATCCAGATAATTAAAATATAAGTGAATCTAGTTATTTAAAGAGTTTGTGGTTAGGTTAGGTTAAAATCATGACTTAACCCAAATGTTAATCTAACCTTACTTATTGTTAGTAACTACAGATAGACTGTGGGGTATGGGATGTTTGGTTCACACTCAGGGTGGAAGGAAACTCACAAGGTGCTCTCTGTATACATGTTGTATTGGATGTATAGTGCAGCTTGGTGCTGGGAGGTAGCATGGTAATAAGCGTTGGGTAGAGAGAGCTGGGTGGTGAGGGCACGAGGCTTGAGGTACGCCAAGGTCGCTGGCTGGCGCGGAGGAGGAGGTGTTGCTGGTGGCACTGAAGAAAGAGGCTGGTCACAGCGGTGTCAGGCCTTATAAGGCGGGGGTAGACAGTTGACCCCCGTTCCGTGGGCGGCGCTGGAGGCGTAGGCTGGGGAATTCGAGAAAGTTCGGTGCTTGTAGGGGAGGAATCCACTACGATCTCATAACTCCACTTTTTACTTTTTACTTTTATCCTCTTCGCCACTGATCGGCTTGTTAGCCGCTTGGGCGATCGGTCACGACTCTTTTCCTTTATATTCTTCACCAAAAGGTCGGCTCGCTAGCCGCCCGGGCGATCGGTCACGTCTCTGTCACGCACTGTTGGCAAATACTGGGCATGCACCGGCTCCTGAATGTACCTGAACCCGCTCCAGTGTTGGTCAAGTCTTCTCTTGAAAGAGCTCACACTCGGTGCCGTCACAACACTTTCTGGTAGATTGTTCCAAGAGTTTACAACCCTCACTCCGAAAAAGTTTGCCCTCACGGTTTTCCGGACTTGCGGCTTCTTCAATCTTGAGCTGTGACCCCTTGTGGGGCGAGCGTCCGCCAGCTCCAAGTAAGGACACTCAACTGAGTAGTGCCCCCTGAGATGCTTATAAACCTCAACTAGGTCCCCCCTTGCCCGTCTGTAGTATAAGCTAGGCAAGTTCAGGCGCTCCAATCTCTCAGGGTAGCTGAGATGCCGAAGTGCAGGCACCAGCTTGGTGGCCCTCCTTTGAACATTTTCAACCAACTGACAGTCCACAATAGGACCGAATGATCTGGCCTGGGATACCATCATGAAAACAGTGGTGTGTATTGCCTCTGAACCATATATTGTTTCAGCTTGATTCAAGCATTTTATTTTTCAACATTATTTGTGGGGGAGTTTGGGAGACAAGTGAAGGAGGCCACGAGGATGTTGGAAACTCCTCAAGGGGGGAATGGAGTGAAGAAGGTTGAGAACTGTTCTCACTAACAAAACTGTACAATGGTATAACCGTTACACCATTGTACAGTTTTGTTAGTGAGTATAGTTAGAATACTTCAAAGTTTGCAGTTGTGTAATAGATCTATAATTTACTTTAGTTTCCCCAACAATGAAGTAACATTATCCAGTTAAACTCGTGAAATACCTGACGTTTTTTCAGTTGACCCCAAAAGCTTATTTTATTTCCATAGACTCAATTACATACTAATATAGTTTTATTTAAAGGGCATCATAAGGCTGTGTAAGGAGGTGAGAGCCATCAATGAGTTAACAGCCTCATTAGACCACCATCAGGGAAGAGTGTCTCGTCTGGGAGTAAACAACCAGGAAGGTCCGGGAGCTGGGGTCAAAGGTAATATTGATTAATTACTTTATTTATCCGTGTTTTTAGCGTAGGATTAGTTTAAACAGGTTAATTATGATTGATGTGTTGTGTAGTTAGGTCGGCAACACTATGAGAAATTAAAGTCGAAATTGGTTAAGGTCATCTCGTACCCAAGACAACCTGGAGCCATACATGAACTGCCTCGTTAAGTGGGTACTAGTTATTAGTTAAGGGTTGACATGGTTCAGCAGTCGAGGCTGAGTGTTTCCGGTGGTTTTTGAGGCGTTATCAACCAATTGGACCTTCATTTATGGCACAAATGAATAGCTTCTGTTTTTGCTCGATACTGAACACGATAATGGAAACGAGAATAAACAGCCTAACACAACATCACTTAACCAAAGAAACCTAACCTAACCACTTGAGAAATTTACCCATGCACAAACATTTTACATAATGTATAAAAACACCAAGATCACCAGAAATAGTTTGCAGATTTGTTTAATTTTTTCACAATTTGTTCTAAGCATTATAGGAAGTATTTTAAAAGAGGCAATATTTATTAGAACCTAACCTAACCAACCAAAGGAACCTACCTACAGTAACCTTACCTTACTTCTTAGCCGGACCAAAGAAACCTACCTAACCTTCCCCAACTTCCTAGCCAGAGGGCAAACTCCCCACCATATTAAACAGAAAATACTTATTTTGATATCTGGTACGAATGAAAGTAACTTTATTGAAGCATTATGGTGTAATTTAAGTTTTTCGTGGGCGTGAGAGTCTGCCCGGACCGAGTGGGTCAGATGACAACACCTGCTGACTCGGCACATTATTCAGAGGAATATTTATAGTTAATAAATAATTTCTTCACGTACAAAACACATAGACATAATTCTAGTGGAGTGTGATAAGTTTTTCAGTGTTTTACCCCACAGTTTTCCTCATCCTGTCGTCTCCTGATAAATACTCACTACTGTATAATGGTAAGAACATATGTGGGAAAAATTACCCAAATCAAACAGCACTTGCCGGTGGTAGCGGTTTCCTCATAAATTACCAAATTTTATCTCGACACATTCAACACTAAAACAAGAAGACCATCCCTGACGAAACTCCTAAAACACTAAAAAATAAAAGATCATAAATTTTTCCTCCTCCATCAGTAAAATAGGGTAATGTTTTCTATATTATTATGACTTTCTTGGGTTAAGAATGGTTAGGTTAGGTTTATAAAGGTCTGGTTGGTGTGATTTATCCCCACGTTTTCCCTCATCTTCAAATCACAGAACATATCTCCTTAAATAACCATCAGCGGCAGGAAGTAAGGTCGTGTTCATTCAAATCACCGTAAAAACATAAAAAAAACCACCTATTCCTGTTGTGGCCCCAAACAAATCTTGATCATATTTTGTGTTTTAGTTTTAAATACAAGTTATGTAGTGAGAGATGAACTGTGTTGTATTAGATGTATATTATGAAGTGGACATTTTGTTTCTTGTAGCATAAAAAATAAGTTAGATAAGATAATTTAGATTTGGATGACCTGTGTGTCTGAGCAGTGAGTTGTGGTGAGCTGTCAGTGCTGTGTGGTGAGCCGTGAGTGTGGTGGTGAGCCTTGTGTGGTGATGAGCTGTGTGTGGTGAAGAGCCGTGAGTGTGGTGGTGAGCTGTGTGTGGTGATGAACTGTATCCACCATTATTATTGTAGGGGACTAATTTTTCTTAGTGAATAAGGGAGGAGGATGCATTACAAATATTGAATGGGGTGTTAAAATGTGAATTGAGGATAAGAGGGGTTGCAAATAGTGAGGTCATCCTGTACTGTATACCCTTCTTCCCACAGATAGTGCAGCCAGGTGTAGGCTTCACCCCTCCTTGTTAATGACACTGATTGGGATGGCTGGGTGATGGCTGTCACATTAATAACTTGTAAGTATGATTTACTGGGTCATTATTTTTAGTATTTGTTGACTTAAACATATTTACTAATACAGTATAGCGAACTTGCTGAGGAACGTGAAGTAAGGAAGTTTGAACTACAGTTGACAGATAGGGAAAGATAACATGAGGAAAAATTAAGTACTGGAGTTAATGTTAAATATGAAGACATACCAAGTTGTGACCCCTTGTTTTGTCCGGTAAATATAAATGTAGAAAGTTCACTCGTTG